CTGCTAAAGCTATCTTGCAATGAAATGATGGCATTTGTACAGACAATGGGAACTTTTGACTGCTTCTTGGCATCTTCTTCCACACTATATTTATTATTCACATGGTGCCAGAGCTGTGTATACTGTGCAGGGAACTGCACTGTCAGTGGAAATTACATGCTTGTTTATATTACTTAGATAATTCAAAGAAGTAAGAGAGCTCAAGATGTTTTTGGAACAGCATCAGCCTGTTGGATTTCTTGGCTTCTACAACTCGATAATTTTAAGAAACTGTCCATGCTAATGCTTTTATCAGATTCAGCTTCTGATTTACACATGAGCTTCTTATAATAAATCTGCCTTTGTTTTCTGTACTGTTCTGAGCACATAGTGTATTGAAGCACTGAAAACTCTCCGACAATGGAGATCCCAGAAATAACCAATAGAGCTGGTGACAGCTGGTGATAAGAAATGTTTGTGAAATACAAGCTCAGAATCTTTTTAATATAAGGCAGAATAAATAATGACGTTACTGAAGGAAATAAATTAATGCAGCACTTCTGCCTAAGAGCAAACCCCAGAAATGCCAGTAACTTCCCGAGTTGCTCAAATGTAGCAGGTTTACACATCTAGATGAGTAACCATCCACTGAAGGAGCTCGAGCCTTTGTCCTGGGCATGGAAACATATGGAGTAACTTTGGGGTAGCCAGTGAATTGACAGTGATGTAAAATCATCTCAGTGTTTTCACAAAGGACACCTAAAAGATGCCAATAGTAGCAGCATTGTCTTCCTGGGTCTTACATCAGTGTCTGGCTGAAAAGGCATCCCACAGTCAGCTGTGTTCGCACAGTGGCAGTGCTGCAGTCAAATCTTGACCTCTCACATGGCCAAATGCAGTCCTGCCAGCAAGTAGCACCCATGTGCATGTGTATGCCACCAGGATTTCTCCTCCGTGATGATGTTTGCCCACCACCTAACTGGCAGAGGTGTGACACAGAGCAGAGACAGGATTGCTCATCACAGACCTGGTCCAGGTGCACTCATTTTTCAGAGGATGCCACGGTTTACCCCACCAACCACAGACTCACAACAATGATGGGTTTCATCCGAGGCTTTGCATCCAAATGGGGAACTGACCTGGACGTTCCAAACTGACCCTTTGATTGCAACACAAACAGCATTGCAAGGATTTCCTCATTATCCCCATTTATTAGACTCTTCATTCCTACAATCCCACTAGCTCCTTAATTTGCCTGGTTGCCATTTCCCATCTTCTAGAAGCCTAGCCTGGAACAAGGAGCTTGCTCTTCTATGGAACGTTGCTTTTGGCCCTGTCTGCAGTTCCCACAGAAGTCCTGCAGCACACTGTGGCATCTGCATCACTGAGCAGAAAGGGAAAAACACTCCTTTGTTGAGCCTCGTGCTCGATTGGAAAACATCCCAACTCCTACAGCTTTTCCAGAAAAGCCCTGCCTGGATTCCTAGCATACTGCATCAGGGACTTGGTGTTTCTAGGGTCTACATTTCCTACAGAGACCTGAAAGAGACACCAGGAGCCCCTGGCCATGAGAACCTGTGGGTATTTCTGCTTTGCTGCCTCAGGGGCTGCAAGCAGCCACCAGCTGGTGGGTCCTGCCTGGGCTGGGGGCTGAGCCCGGACCCAGGGCAACTGTCTTCTTGCCTTGAGGCACAGAAACTGCCTTCCACTCCTGTCTAGTTCATCAGCAAGGTGCAGAAGCAGGTTTCATGTCAAGAACCTGGATTTTGATGTTGTTTCCCATATTTAGGTGTCTTTTGTGTACCATTCTGTGTGCCTTATTCTGAAATTAGGTTCTTCTCCTCATCTGCCCTTCTCTATGGTTGTCCAGGTCCTCCTCCTTGAGGAAGGTCTTTTCCAAAGTCCTTGCATCATCAGGTCCATCTGACCATACCAGGCTGTTCCTGACTTGCACAGCTGAGCTAGGTTAGATGAGCTGGTGGAACATTCTGTCTGGGACATTGCACAAGTCCCA